CCCTACAAGCGGCAGTGACTGTAGGAACGCTCGTTAGAGCGGGGGCCCGGGAGCCAGAAATCTGGGCTCGGTTCCAAGTTCTGCCGTGTAGATTTGCCCCTTGGATTTTGCCGAGCTCCGCGATTGCGTGGCCCTGTGGCCAAATGGTCTGTAGGAAGCTCGGCCCCTCAAACGGCGGGGCTGCGAGGCCGGCCTTTGTGGGTCACTCGGCGAGAAACGTGAGGTTGCTGGCCCGGGAGCGTCTTGCTAACTTGGGCAATGCCCGAGCCTGGGCGGCCTTTGCACAGGCGGTGATAAGCTGTTAGTCACCTCTCTCTGGATCCAAACTTAGCCCTTAGCGCTGGTAGTTTCCAGCTTCTCCCCCTGAGGACGGCTTCGCAGGAGGAGGAGGAAGTCCTGCGGCCACTCGGCGAGAAACGTGAGGTTGCTGGCCCGGGAGCGTCTTGCTAACTTGGGCAATGCCCGAGCCTGGGCGGCCTTTGCACAGGCGGTGATAAGCTGTTAGTCACCTCTCTCTGGATCCAAACTTAGCCCTTAGCGCTGGTAGTTTCCAGCTTCTCCCCCTGAGGACGGCTTCGCAGGAGGAGGAGGAAGTCCTGCGGCAGGGTCAACTGTCCGGTTGAAAATAGCGAATTGCCCAACTGTCCGGTTGAAAATAGCGAATTGCTTTAGGGGGACGTTAGCAAAGGCCCTTTCCCCGGCCGGTCTCGGGCAGGAAGTCTGAGGGGACGTCCCGCACCACAAAACTCAAACGGGTTTTAAAGGGGTGTCGTGGAGTCCGAGGCGATCGAGCTTGCGGGTTCAAGGGCTGGAAATCGCACTGAGCCGCAGTTCCACACTGGCTGCCTTAAGCCTTGGCCCAGCGCCCCCAAAGGAGCAGCAAAAGTCGACCCGCCAGGGCTGCCGATCCAGGCTGCCCGCCTCTAGCGATCTCCTCTTCTCGGTGGTGGCGGTGGGTGGGTGGAGAGGCCAGCCGGGTCCGCTGGGGCTTTCCGAGTCCCGGGGCCCTGTTGGGTTCTGCCCAGGGATAGCGGTGGGCGCAGGGATACAAATCGATGTGAGGCAGGGGAGTTGCCAGGGGCCTGCGCTGGAATCGTCAGTAAGTGGCCAGGTCCTAGCATTGGCCTGGGGGCTCGAGGGGAAGATGCTCAGAGAGGCACTGACCCTGTCTGACCTATTGTCAGCGTCCTTGCTTGCCGGTGGCACCCACCCTCTCCGGGCACGTCTCCTGAGCCCCCGGCCCCGCGGGAGGCTGCGTCTGGCTCACTCGCCCGCGCTGCTGTTGGCAGTGGTGACAGCTCCCCGGGGCCGGGCGGCGGGAGGCTGAAAGGCTGTCTGGCTCCGGCTGCTGCTCTCCCCCCGCCCCTCATGCAGCTTTCTCCTCTGGATTCCAGGCCTGGATCAGGGATGTCCGAGCCGGCGCCTCCACCTCCTGTGGGAACCACCTCAAGTCCAGCTGCCGCTTGATCGCCTTCAGTGCTGACTCAGCAGGTGCGGGGCTGGGAGGGCAGGCGCGGAGCGTTGGCAGTGGGGGGTAGCTCGGAGTTGTGTGCCCATTAACCCTACGGCCTCAGGTGCCTTGCTGCGCTAGGAGTTGTGCAGACACAGCCCCAGTCCTCAGCATTTCCTCTCCACCGAGGCAAGCTGGGGTGCAGGGACAGTTCTGTCCATTGGACAGATGGAAAGACTGAGGCCCAGTGGGGCAGTGACATGCAGGGACTAGGACCTGAGTCTCTCAGCTCCTGAGGAGCAGCCAGCAGAAGTTGTTTTTCCTTCTCCTTGCTAATGACACGAATAGAACAAGCCTGTTCAGGTTTGCTCAGGGCCTCTGCCCCTTGGGAAGATGGCTCTAGCAGCACCAAGGGGGCATTTGTACAGCAGGATGTCTCTGGGAACCTGGCCTGTGTCGGGGGTTGGCAGCTGCTGTGACGGGCCGGGTCTGGGCACCGCTGAGGGTGTCTGCTCAGAGTGAATTGCTCAAATTCGGGGCTCCTCACAGCCCCCAGACTGGAGACCTTCCCAAACAGGCCACAAACCAGTCTCACAGAGCACTTCAGCTGCCTACCTGGCCAGCCAGAAACCTCAGGAGCAAAACCCCAACAATATCCGTGGCCCCAGGCCTCATACACAGGTGGGGGGTCTTAGAACGCAATCCCACCTACCCCGAACAAGTTCTGTCCAGTTCCAAGAAACCAGCCACAGATCCCAGGTCAATTTACCCTCTGGACCTCACCCACAAACCGTGCTGAGCCAATCCTTTAGAATTTACAATCTAAGGGTTTATTACTCAAAGAAAAGCCTGAGAGTAAGGTTGTTAAAGTATCATACATGACATGCAGCGAATCTCCCAGTTCTCAATGCAGGCTCGCAGCAGAGATTATAACTGCTGGCTTAAAAAGTCTCTGGTGCACATCCTATGCCAGGATGGGTCCACAGTTCTTCCCGGCTTGAGATTCCCTGCGAGGCCACATCTGGGGTCAGGAGCAGATCTGGAGAGAAAATGGAGGCTGCTACATGGCATCTTTAGCCCTCCTTCCTGGTCTCCTCTTGACTGCAGCAGGTCGCCTGGCCCGTGGCCTGTCCCTGTGTCCCCTGCTGGTAGCCCCTAGGGATGAGTCCCCATTCTTGAGGGGTGTCCTTGGCCTATAGAGGGCTATTGTTCCATGGAGACTTGCTCATTAGCATGTCCATTGGCTGAGCTGCTTTGCCCATAGTTCAACCACATACAGAGAAACATTTGGTGTCCACACAAAGTACATGCATATACCTTCAGACACAGACATTATACAATCACGTGACTAGCATATATGGAATCAGAAAGAAGTTAGCTTCTATTTGACACCTCACATGGCCCCCTTTGTACCACTTTTGGGGCCAACATGCCCCTCCCCATGGGTGCAGCAGTGATCTGGCTGCTTCCCTAAAATTGAGTAACGTGACAGCTGCCCCCTTGGGGCCTGGGCTAGGCCTGGGCTAGGCCTGGCGGGAGCTCCCAGCTGAGCTGTCGGAAGCGTATCCACCCTGCTTCCGGGTGCCAGGCGTGCGCAGTCCTGGGCATGGGCCAGTCCGGGGCGGCTGCGATGCGCTGGCAGGTGACGCATGGCCTCTTGTCTTTCAGGGGTCTTGGGCATCGTGCCGCTGGAGAGCGGGGACGGAGGGAAGAGGGCCGTGTCCCAGCTGTGCTGTCATTCAGGTGAGCTCCCCGGGCGAATGCCTCTGGAGCGAGGCGTGTCCGCTGCCGTGGCTGAGCCACCAGGCATTGGATTCCCTGTCTCCCATCCTGCGAGGGGCTGGCTTGGAGCGGGAAGGCGGTTCCGATGGGGCTACTCAGTGCTGTTCAATACTGGGGGCTCAGAGCCCGGCTGGCTGCTCCTCCCTCCCGGGGCACTTGACCCCTTGCAGGCCAAGAGGTACCCAGAGCCCACTGAATTTCACCGGGTCTCGGGAAGAGCTCGGGCAGCCCCAGCTGGCCGCGGGGACCACTGCGTGCTGCCGTGCGTCAGTGCCCCGTTGGCTCCCTTAGGGGACAGGCCCTGGCTCTGGCCCGCTCTCCGGGACCTGGCGTGCCAGCCAGGAGCAGTGACGGTACCGGAGGGCGCACTGGGATTGCAGGACAGCGCCCGGAGCACCTGCTGGCCCGTCGCAGCACAGGCCGCCAGAGGACGCTTCGGGGCGCATGCTGCAGCTGATCAGAGCTGGCGGAGGTGGGAGTTTTACAGCCTCGCGGGCCTTTACCTCGGCGGTTTGCACGAGCAGAGCAGCCCTCGGTGACCTAGTTTCCTCAGCGCGCCGGATGCAGCAGCGGGGCTGCTCGGGGCTGTG